TGTGTGTGTGTAGGTGTGTGTATAAATTTTATATGCAGGTACCAGTCTTTCAACACCCTCATTAGCAAGTGTTATTATCTACTTTTTGCTTTTCCCAACAGTTTTATTGACATACTTCACATATCACACAAATTTAATATATTTAACTTGCATACAATTTTATTCCATTTTTGACACTTGTGGATCATATAATATAGAATCACTTTATATTTTATTCTTTATATCTCTCAGGTATATAATCACTGTCCTCTGGTAATTACCTATTTCTGGCCAAACATGAGAGAAATATAGTATTCCATGTTCAGTAGCATTTGTAAATAGGTAAGAGGAAACATTATTATTTTATAGTTAAAATAGTTTATAAATTTAATTAGGCTACAATTTTATACTCATAGCTCAACTTTTTTTTCCAATCGTCTATTTAGTGTCTTATTGATCTAAAAGAGGCCCCCCCTTCTTTGTAATATCTGATGAGCATATCATATTCATCTGAAACTCTAAATCTCACTGTCGATGAATCAATCCCCACTCACAACGACCCTACAACACAAAGCACAATTGCCCCTGCGGTTTCTGAGGCTGTGAATCTTTATGGAAGTAAAACCTTCATCTTACTTCCACGGAGCAGGCTGGGGGGTTCTAACTACTGACCCTGTGGTTAGTAGCCAAGAATAGAGCGTGACATAATTTTCAGCAATTTCTCAAGAGACTATCTTAGAAGCAAAAATTTATCACAATGGTGATGTTCAATTATAGGTGTACATTTTATTTTCATAATTTCCAATAACCGAACGTTCTTTAACTGGTGATATATATTGAGTCGGACTGAGGGTACATGATTTCTTTGGAAACCTAACAATAGGTCTATTTCTAGCTAAGGGGAAGTTAGGAATAAAATAACCTTATCAGCTCCTCATTATCCTCCTGAGGCTGGGCACAGAGGTTGGAAAGATAGGCTATAAGAATGGAGCGAAGTGATAAAGAAAGTTCAAGTTTCCCCTGCAGCAAGCAACCCATTTGTTCTAGGTGTTGTCCTAGCACAGAGGTTCTTTACTGCTGCACGACTGACCGTTTGAGCCAGGTAAGTCTTTATTTGGTGGCCAGGAAAGGCTGTCCTATGCAATGTGAGATCTTTAGCTGTATCCCTGGCCTCTAACAGCCCATGCCTCTCTGTAGTTGTCTCCAGATACTGCTAAATGTTCCCAGGGCAGCCCCAGCCCAATCCAGTGTGGAAACAGCTAAGTGGGACACTAGGCAAAAGGTTGAATTAACATTTAATACTGAAAAAACATTTTAGAATTAAAATTAAATAGAGATTACCTAGTTGATTGCATCTGCCTTGTAGTTTCTGGATCTTCAAACATTTTCACAATTGGTTCAGTTTCTGCCTGGAGTTGTTTTAGCTGTGCAACAACTGTGGTTCTTTTTTCTCGCAGAGCTAATTAGAAATGCAAAGGAGTGCTACAATGTGAAAGAGCATTAAGCTAAAGAGTTCTATAGAGTCACTATTTCTAATTTCTAGTACTTCAAAGATACAGGAGAATTATTTTCCTACTATTAAGGAACATGGGAAATTTGAGAAGTTTGGGAGGATAGGATATTATAATTTCATACTAGAATTTCAAGAGTTTAATTCTAAATATTTCTAATTTGTTTCTGTTTCTTTCTCTAATGTATCAAGCCAGTATTAAAGATCAGAAACAAGCTTAGAGAGTTAATATACTATTACTATGCACATTCAGTTAGGTTGTGAATAATTTAAACCAAGTCTATAATTCGTATCACTATGAATCTAGTTCTATAACCTGAACTATATCACTAAGGGTCAGAGATAAGCTTGCCTGGAACATAACCTGCTAGCAAGTGTTAGAATAGTTTCACTAAAAACAAGTTCTATTTTTTAAAAAGAGTTTTATTGGGATATACTTCACAGCCAAACATACAATTTAACCACTCAACCACAGTAAGATTTGTGCAATCATCACCACAATCAATTTCAGAATATTTTCTTCTCATAATTGTTAGCTCCCCTCTTTTCCAATCCCTCATTGCCACACCCCTATCCAGTTACTGTCTCCATAGATCTACTTAGACTGAATATCATATAAAGGAAATCATACAAAACTTAACCACATAAAACCACACAAAGCAAACAAGCCACAATCGACTCTACTGTGTGCTCTCTATGTGATAGCAAGGCTCTTCACATCCCTCAACTATGATCAGAGGGGATTCACTGGTGACTTAACCCATGTGACAACACTGCAAATGGATTTGGGGCATTTTTTTTTT